AAAAAAAAAAACAAAAAACAAAAAAGATAAAAATATATATTTTGTTTTTCCTATTGATATTTTATGCCCAAAAGTAGTTAGTTACAAGCTAGTTACATCAAATGCAGAGGTAACCACCCTTGACTACATCTAATGCAGTGGTAACCACCCTTGACTATTTCGCGGCCATCGCCATAGAAATATAGTTAGCTTTCGTCAAAGAAAATATACAGATAATAAGTGACTTATAGCTTCCTAATCAACTTAATAGTTAATAGTTAGATACCTTTCCTGCAGGGACATGTTTATTTGTACATAAATACACACATGTTTATTTGTACAAACCCTGTGGGGAAAATCTCTAGTTTTGAACTGGTGCGCTTCTAGTACATTTAGAACCACTACTAGTTCGCGATAAATCTCTTTTGCATGCAAACAACTGGCGAATTTAACACAGCGATGTCATAGGAATTGGAAATTGTCCCCCGCTGCATTACCTTTTCTATAGTTCAGAACCAGTCCTAAATTCGACATATGGGATCTAGTTCGCTTTGCACCCCATTTTCTATAGTTTCGAACCAGTTGTAAACGAAAAAAGTAACAATATATTTTCTTTTTGGGTTACCATGGTAGCAATTTTTATTATTTGGAGAGAAATGTATTTTCAATCTGAAATCAAGTTTGTTTGAATGAATGTAAATTAAATTGTGCATTTGAAAACACGTTTACATACCTTTGGCTGTAGCTGAATTTGCAGAGGTGCTGACTGTTATTGGTTATATTCCAGAAGGTCCCATAATGTTAAGCTGTTAACACAAATATTAGTTTTGTATTACCAAACTATGAAAAAGCATCTGCGACGTGCTGACTGAAAGCGTATTTGAACGAAAAACCCGCCAAGCAAAAATCTATTTAAAGTAAACAAGGCCCCCGCTGCATCCCTTTTTCAGTAGTTTCGAACTAGTTCAAAATTCGCCAGATGAGATCTAGTTCGTTCTCCATCTCTTTTTCTATAGTTTTGAACCAGTTCTAAATTCGTCATTTTAGACATAGATTTCTAAAATTGTTTTTTAAAAGTACCACATATCGCCGCTTTTGAGCTGGTGGCGATCTAGTTACTATCGGACTGGTTCGTTTTTGGCGATAAAGATCTAGTACGGGACTACAAATTTGGTACACCAGTTCGGGGTTTCCCTGCAGGGAATGCACTAATCGCGTACTGTGTGTGGTGTTGATTCAAACTCAAAATCTGAAAGCACACTTACATGTCTGGCTGTAGCCGAGTGCGCAAAGATGTTGGCACAATTTGTCAATTTCCAGATTCCCGATAGTCAGAGTTCAAATCCCATTGCAGGCAACATGCAAATTAAAAATATTTTTTTTATCTTGATTATTCACTTCACGGATGCTTTTTCAGAACGAAAGCGGACGTATTTGATTTAAATAATGTGCATTATACGCTACTTTTGCATACGTTTTCATTTGATTTTACTAACTCGGTATAAACAAGGTATAAGTTGGTTTGGATCTGTACATATACATANCATTTTAATAATGTGCGTTATACGCTACTTTTGAATACGTTTTCATTTTATTTTACTAACTCGGTATAAACAAGGTATAAGTTGGTTTGGATCTGTACATATACATAGTTGAATATTCTTTAATTATATTTCCAGCAATGGGGCGAAAGCGCAATATTTACATTCGTGAACATTTTGAAAGTGAAGGTCAAGTTGGAAAATGCAAAGCATGTGGTGATATGATCCAGTTAGAGCATATAACTAATTTAAAAAGACATTTGCGAACTAAGCATGCTGAGTTATTTCACGAATCCAATAAACGGGCCCATCTCGAAAACGAACCCAAGGATGTCAATGATAAAAAATTAAGTTTTCATCTAAAATTTCCCCAAATGAGGTGGTGAATGCATGCATTAACTTTATCGCAAAAGATTCGTTGCCTTTATCATTTTTCGATTCCGAATCCTTTAAGGCACTTACAAATCAAATATTCGATGGGCTTAATATGCAAAAAATAACATCGGCTAATATTATGCAATTCGCAAATGAAAAGTGCGGCAAATTGAAATCCTCAATTCTAGATATACTCAGCGGTAAACTTATCTGTCTTAAGATTGATACCGCCACCCGTAGTAATCGTGGTGATCTTTGTGTAAATGCCCAAATTTTTTTACGCGATAAAATTGAAATTATTACTCTAGCAATGGAAGAAATACAGGGCAGACATACAGCGGACAATATAAGAGTAATAATGGAAAAAGTAATAGGATCTTATGATATTAAAAAAGAACAAATTTATACGGTTACCACTGATGACGGCCGGAATTTTATCAAAGCGGTTGAGCTTTTGGCAGAGACGGCCAGCCACGACGACAACGATGATGATGATGATATTGATGATGATGATGAAACCGCTTCGTATGTATTTTCCGGAAATGTTTTAAAGCCTATTATAGGTGATCACATAATTTCTGTAAAATGTGCGGCTCACACGCTTCAGCTCGCTGTCAAAGTCTTTTTGGAAGAGTATAGCCCGGGAATAGTAAGCAGTTCTCGCCGAGTTGTAAAGATCCTAAGAACACCATTGATGCGGTGGGTGGTTTCATAAACTTTCTCACCTTAATAGCTTTTTGAGATGATTTCGTTTAAATTTTTCAGGTTAAAGGTTAGAGACCAAAATCTTGTGAAGCCTCAACTAGATGTTCTAACTCGTTGGAGCTCTACATACAATATGATGGGAAGGCTCTGTCAACTGAGAGATTTTTGCGCAATGCATCTAAGATCATCCGAAAATTTGAGCATTGACGAGTGGAAATTAGTGGAGAGCATTGTGGCAGTGTTGGCATTACCTCACTCGTTAACTTTAAAGCTTCAGGGTGGGCAGTTCCTATTAGGAGACTTTTACAAACATTGGCTGCAGATGACACTTGAGCTCAAAAACACTGATAGCGATATTAGTAAAAAATTTTTGAGTTGTGTTGAAACAGGCAACGTTCGCTGCTTGAAAATGATATTATAAATTCGGCCTTATTTTTGGATCCCAGATTAAGGCGAGTTCTTTCTAAGGAAAAGATGGAATCCGCCAAAAGCCATCTAAAAGGACTCGTTCGTCGCTTGGAGAATTTGAAAGAGGTTTTTCTAATGATTTTCAAATCATCAGATGTTTTTTTTAATGTTCATAGTAATATTTTTTTTCCATTTAGAATCACGATTCATCTTCTCAAAACAATCAACGCAGTGAGGAATTGTCATTGTATGTGAAGAAGATGTATTAGTGTCGTTCGATGTAGTATCCTTGTTCACAAATATACCTACAACGTCAGCAATTAAAATAATACTAAATAAATGGGACCAAGTACAAAAGAGGACGAATATACCTAAAAATAAGTTTCACCACATTTTAGACTCTTGTCTTAAAGACAACAGCTATTTTATGTACAATAACAAATTGTATACTCAAAATTTTGGAATGCCGATGGGCAATCCTCTTTCGCCAACAATTGCTGACATTATCATGGACAACCTACTTGACAATACCATCGCGGAGCTTAAAAACAAATACAATATTGACATAAAATTTATAGCGAAATATGTGGACGACATCTTTGCAATAATAAAACTAAACGACGTGAACAAGATTCTAGACACACTAAGGGCCGTTTGCACCATCTCCAGTTAAGTTAGCATTTAACTAGAGGATAGCTAATCTCCAGGTACCTTGATTTGACATTCTCGTTTTCACCAAGCTCAGATTAGCCGACCTCCAGTTAATTCGATAATTGTGAATATTTTGTAGAACAATTCACAAAAACCCATTGTGAATGCTCATAAATGGGCAAACCAGCTGTGTTTTGTTTACATTTTTGACGTGCCATTGTAAAAATAAATTGGTTTTTGTGATAAGTGTGGACTTTTAAGATTTATATAGATGATAATGGATGACAAAAAGAGAAATCGTTTGCCAAATTTTACAAGCGGCGATGAGTCTCCTCTTATCACATTGGTCGAGCGGTACGCCAATAAAATAGAAAATAAAAGAAGCGACGCAGTTTCGTGGGAAGAGAAGCGAAAAGCGTGGGAAGAAATTGACCTTAAGTTTGAGTCCCAAACTGGTATCAGGCGCGGTCCTAAAAATTTGCGGGAGAAGTACGAGAATATGAAGAAGAACCAGGAAGAATTTAGCGGATGAAAAGAGGGAGCTATATAAGACTGGTGGGGTCCAGTTTCAACACCGACCGGACAAAAATACGGGCAGGCTAGCTACGCTCATGGGCCAATCTGCAACCGGCTTGGAAAATTACGTAGACAGCGATGGTAAGATTTCGCTTTTATTTACATGCAATAGTAGTTACTGATACTTGAATTTTACATTATTTCAGCAATAGTCACTTATGAACAAGAGCCTGAGTACTTGGACGAATCTATGCAGAGCTGTACGGTAGAACATCTGGACGCGGCATTAGAAGCTAAAGAACACGTAAATTATATAATCAGGCAGGTTCTGCAATTCACTTCCGAGTGAATTTAAACCCCTGCCAATTTGAATTCAAAGCGCATTTTGTTGAAATTCGGAAGTGAATTGCAGAACCTGCCTGTATATTTGAAAATTATAGATTTTCCTCTATAAATAAGTATTTCTTTAGGATGCCAGAGCAGATTGGAGTTCATGGAACCCAACTCTGCTACGTTCAAAACCCAACGAAAAACTAGCGACAAAGCGAAACAAGTAAGAAAGTCTAAGTTCGGGCGGGGCCGAACATTAAATACCCGGCGCAAGTATTACATATATGCCTTTTCACCTTTCCGAAAGCTACCGCTACATGGTAAGCCGGGGTGTATCAATATTGAATAAATTAGCGTCCTTAAATTTCGAAATATTGACATTTCGAGCATTTCTAAAATTTACCGTTATATGAAAAGCCGTAATTTTAGTCCGATTTCAATAATTTTGAACGTTTTGCTTTTATAAGGCAAGCACAATAACCATACCGAGTTTGGTACAAATTGGTAGAACGGTTACCGAGATACATATATGTGATCATAAGTGGGCGGTGCCACGCCCATTTTCCATAATTTTATGATAAGCGTATTTCCTGATAAAGAATTGTCGCAAGCATCAATTTTGAGTGAATAATCTTCAGTAGTTACTAAAATATCGCAGTTTTCGTATTTCTGAAAATTACCGTTATATGGGAGGTAGGCGTGGTTATTGTCCGATTTTGCCCATTTTCAATACCATCCGTCCTACGCCCGAAAGAAGTACACGTACCAAGTTTAGTTAAGATATCTTAATTTTTACTCGAGTTATCGTGTGCACAGACGGACGGACAGACGGACGGACGGACGGACGGACAGACGGACCGACAGACAGTCACCGCTTAATCGATTTCTCTTTTAATCCTGATCATTTATGTATACATTTGTCTATATCTATCTCGATTCGTTTTGCCTGTTACAAACAACCGTTATGTGAACAAAGTTATAATACCCTTGTGCACAAGTGCGCTCGGGTATAAAAAGAAACTCCTGATGCACACCAAATCTTCTGGATGGAAGAAAATCAAAGAGCAGCTGAGCGACATACATGGGCCAAAAAGAAGAATGAACTTG